AAACATAGAGAGGAAAACAAGAAGAAAAGGGACAAGAAGAGAGGGACACAACCTAGAACAGATAATGGATGTCTATTCTATTAACATTTCTCTATCTGTATAATGGGGCTGTTTGATGTCTTCTCCATTCAGAGGGGCCCCTGCCTGTCTTAGCCTAGGGCCCCTAATGTCCTAAATCCACCCCTGACAGTAATATAACCACATCATCTTCATCTCTGCTCTAAATATTCCTAAAGTTCACCTGAATACGTCCCTGTTTCCATGTTCTTAGCCACGTGGTCTTAGCTGATGTCGACTTAATGACAGAGTTCCTCTAAATGGTGACGCCACATAAAGAACAAGAGCCGCTCCTGAGCTGAATAGCTGAGTCATTTCTGTTGCAGCGGTGGATAAATATAGAGCTTATGTGAGGACGGAATATGTAAAGACCTGAGCAGAGGTGTTAGTTAAACTCCAGCGAGATCTACAGGCTGCTCACTGTCACACCACTGTGGGACCATTTCCACCCACCCGCTGAGCTCTGAAGTCTGTCTGTGGGAACTTTTCTCCACTTATTTCAACATTTTCCTCCATGTTAACGCCTTTTTTCTCACACAAAAATAGGATTCAGCTCTACAGCAGGCAGCTAGAGATGATGTCATTTTATTTTCAATTGAATGAAATATAATTTAGCAGGGTGGCTAAGCTAACCTATGCCAAAGTTTTAACAGGAGTCAGAAAAGGTTGCATTCTCCGATATCAATGTAATAAGACCAGAGTTTAGGTCCCAGAATTTAGGCGAGACAGTGGGAAAGTTCAAGAAGTTTAATAAAATAAACCATACAGAACGCGGATCTTTGTATCTGCTGTGTGTGTGGGGGGGGGTTCAGTCCAGCTCCTAATAATGAGTCTGAATTCAGCCGATGGACTGCCAAAGAGATGCAGCAGGAGCCGCCCAGAGTGTCGCCGATGCAGCAGCCTCAGAGAACAGGCAGAATTCTGAGCCCGGTCAGGGAGACAGTTCAGAACAGGACGGTTCCCAGATCCAGGAGTCCGTAAACTGGTCAGGGGTTCGGATCCGAAGAGGAACAGAAATATCAAGGGGTTCCATGACTCCACAGAGCGTTCAGGCAGGTTAGGAGCTCCATGAGTCCACAGAGAGTTCAGGCAGGTTAGGAGCTCCATGAGTCCACAGAGAGTTCAGGCAGGTTAGGAGCTCCATGAGTCCACAGAGAGTTCAGGCAGAAATGTTCGGATGCAAAACAGGTAGGCTCAGCAGTTGAGAGGCAGAACAAGACGCTACATCAGGAAAACTGTGGAACTTTAAACTAGCTCTCTCTGCTGAGCCAAAAACAGGATCATGGAACATTTAGAGGACAGGAGCCAGGACTGATCAGGAAACACTAAGAAATTATTAAAAACCCTCTAACCACTGGCCTCCCAGAACCAAAACATGAACTAATCAGAAATGATGTCCAAACTCAACTAGCAGAAAGTCAATGATCTGGCCCTGATAGCTGGAGCAGCAGGAGCAGGTGGATAAGATGAATGATAATTGGTAACGGGGAGAGTTAGACAGGTGAGCGAACAATTAGGTCACCTGTCAGGGCAGCGATTATGACATATCTACGCTTTTAGATAGAAAAACTTTACAGGAGAAGCAAAATGTGTGGAAAACAAAAAGGTAAACTGGTTCAAAACATCTTCCAGAGTTAAAATCTAAAGTTTCTAAAATCATTAAGCTGAACAGTCTAAAAAGTATCAACATTGTGCCTAACTCACATCTAAGGGCAGATTGATGGAGGATTGTTACCATAACAGTTGGTTTTCAGACTGTGGAAGAAACCAGTAGAACCAATCTAAGGATATAGAGCTGAAATCTACGTAAATTTTTTTTAGAATTAGTGCATTTTTTTCTTTAATTAAGCAAGTAACTGAAACACTTTGCCAATGGAATAAGAAAATTTACATTTAAAATAAGAAAATAAATTGAATTGTCCTATTTCAAGAGTATAATATCTAATTATCTAATTTTAAGAGTAATTTAATCTTATTTAACTACCCAAATTAAGGATATATATACTTAATTTGAGACATTTTTTATTTATTTTTAGATAGTTTTTTGCAGTGGAGCCTCTCTGGTTTTTCTATCCTGCTTCTTCAGGTGACAAAAACTAAAAGGAAGCTTAGAGGCGATCGTACTTTCTTTATGGCAGCTCTAAAAATGTGGAACGACATTCAATTGCAAATTATATTGCCTATTTCTTTGTCTGATTTAAAATCTCGCTTAAAAATGAATCTCTTTGCCTCGGCTTTCTAAACTGTGTGAGATGTTTAATATAGTCTGTGACACATTATTTTGAATTACTTTTATTTTAATTTTATTATAGATTTTATTGTTCTGAGTTAAATTTTGTCTTTTATGTTTGTATGGTTGTTATGAGTATGTGTGATGGTGTTATGTTTCACTGTAGAGCACTTTGGTCTTTTGAGAAATTTTGTTGTAAATTGGAGCTATAGAAATAAATTTAATTGAAATTGAAATGAATAAAGTTGGATTAGATTGAAGTTATCAAAGTGACAGGATTATAAAGGAGAAAAAATTTGACTATTTCATTAACAGAGTTTATTTGAACCCACATTCACTACACCCTCATGCTTTCCACTAATCTGAACACCAAACCAATTATGGTGAGAAAAAGGAAGGAAAACAAACTCATTAAATGTCGGTTGTGCCCACGGCGCCGTTTGCATGAAATCCTTAAATAAACAGAGGAGCTGTTGGTGTGAGTCGCTTCCTGATCAACAACCATGACCTCCTGGATTGTTGTCACGTCAGGTCAACATGTTCATCTTCTCTAGTCAGAAAGTCACCTTGCAGGTTGCTGAAATTATAAAAGGAGCAGACGGAAATCTTTTACTGGATGCACCCAATAATCAATGGTATTCTGGTTTATGTCTCAACGCAGGAGTTAGACTTTCAGTGGTTTTTGGAGGTAAATTGTGTTTTATTGTTTACAGGTGTTCCAGGAGGAGATGGGCGTCGTCAAATCCTACAACCTGAAACCCGGTGGAGACAAGATCCCTGTTACCAAGCAGAACAGGAAGGGTGAGTTCAAGCAAGGACACCAGAGTTAGGTTTAAAATACTCTCAGCTAGAGGTAGGGAGCGAGCTCAGAGACGAAACATGTTTTACCCCAGAGCCTGGATCCAGGCAGGAAGTAATCTATGGTAAACAAACTGGATTAATGATGGAATTATTAAAGGAAAAGTCCGGTCAGCACGGAATGATCAATGGATCATTATTTATACCTGAAACGACGTTTGCAGCAATGGCTGATGGTGGAGTTCTTCCAGGGGGGGGCTATACATTCAAACGTATACGAAGTTATCACACCAGTAAATTTATATGAATGCCAACAACAAAAAACATAATAAAAAGATTTTATTAAAACCTAATTTCATGTACAGGTTTACTCTTTTGTACATAAATCTTTCCCTTCTGAGGCTTTGTGAAGATAAATCTGTGTTTTTGTCGAATATTTTCTCAAAAACCTGAAATAAAATAATGTTCAATAATGGAGAAGCTAATAGTCAGCTTTATATTTTTTTATTTATAAAAAATACTTATTTTCTGATT